GATTTGAAAATGGAAAAAAGGAGTGAAAACTCATTTGGGGATGGAGAGTTTCAGTTTTTTTATTTATTTTTAACCTGAGCCAAAACGACGTCGTTTTAGCCAGGTTTTTAAAAAAACTTAAGTGGAACGGCGTCGAAGGGGAGAAAAAAAATTGACGCGAGTTGGAGGAGGACAGCAGCAGTAGCAAGACAGAACAGCAGTCCCTTTGGGGACTTTCATCAAACAGGTTGCAGGGGTCAAATTTCCACCCTCTAATGGAGGATTCCAGGGGGTCACTTGATTAGGTTTTTTTTGTTTTTTGTTTTTTTTTTGTTTTTTGTGTATTTCCATCCACAGATCTTTTGTATTGTTATGAAAATGTTGAATAAAAATAATCGATGTGTTTGTACATGTATTTGATTGGATTTTAATGTTTTTTTTCTTCAAATTAATTAATTAATTAATTCAGCATCTGGCTAATTATAACCCTTTGGTGTTTGATGTGTGTGCTATTTAGGAAGAAGCAGGCATGATAAAAGCCTAAGGTACGTACCTGGTTTCTGGCACCCATATAAATCTTTTCCCCAAACTTTACAGCAATATTCTTGATTTCAGATATACATTTTTCCGAGTCAGACGATGGAAAACGCTTCCTTAAGGTATTCATACTACATGAGGAATTTTTCCGCAGTCAGAAAGTTACTAGCCATGTAAGCTCAAGAAGAGTTCAAATGTAATAGTTTTAGTAAATAATCAGAATGGCTTGGTCAAAGAACGGTATGATACTATATAAACATTCAAATCTACTAGAGGCTCAAAATCTTGGCTTGCAAAATTCATAACTCATTCAGAAGAAAAGTTAAATACTTCCTTTGCAGGCTTGCCAATTAGTCATGCTGATGCTCACCCAAGCTCGGCCTAAGTAGAATTATCATAAAGCTTAGCATGTCTAAATTATTAATAGGCTTATTATCACAAAACGTTCCTAAGGTTTACGAAACTATCAAATTGCATCCTTCATTTTTTTTTTTGTCATTCGTGGTGCTCAAGGTTAGTATGTGTGATCACAAATGGTTTATGCCGTTACGTTCCGTCAAAAACTCTCTTAGTTTGCTGATGTGACATATATATATATATATCACAAAACATTCTTGAAGTTCATGCACCTATCACAAATGGTCCTTGCGAAATTTTTTAATTTAAAATTCATAAAATTTTGTTTTTCTTTTTAAAATTTTATGAATTTTAAATTATTTAAAAATATATATTGTATTTTCAATACATGTGACCCTATATTATTGTAGATATGGGCTCTACATATATGCCACATCAACAAACTAAGAGATTTTTTTTAAAATAATTTAAAATTCATAAAATTTAAAAATGAAAAAACTAATAAATGGTTCTCAAGATTAAAACGAACCATGCACACGCTATGGCGGCCAAAGGCGGAGGTGACCATTGCAGACTTGGAGGCAAATTTATTTGTGTTATCTTTTAAGATGACTGCAGCTAGGGCGGCAATATTACGGGGAGGTCCATGGACATTTAATCATTTCCTGTTAGATCTTGCTGAAGTAGATGATCTAGTGCACCCAACGAGAATTCCGTTATGCCAACAAGTGTTCTGGGTTCAAGTGAAAGGACTACCTTTAATCCATATGACTCAAGAGATGGGTAAGATGACTGGGCAGTAGATAGGGGAGTTTGTGGTCTCCGATCAAAGTAAGTGGGGCCAATGCTTGGGAAGCTAATGCGAATCCGAGTTGCTCTAGATATTACCAAACCGCTAAGGCGTTGTTTGCCGATTTAATTGCCGGAGGATAAGGTGGAATGGGTTGACCTCCGATATGAAAACTCCCACACGTTTGCTACTTATGTGGATGCTTTGATCATATTGAAAGTCAATGCCACAAGTTTCAGAGAGACCAATTAGATGATGTAGCAAAACCATATGGGAGATGGTTTCAGGAAGACATTCTTGGACCTAAATATATCGTAGACCCCTGGGAAGGAGATTTGGGATATCTGACCCTCTTGGATGGTCTATGAAGGCACCAATAGATATGGAAGAGGAGGCCGAGGAGTTGGTAGAGGTGGCTCACAATGGACATGGCGGCGGTGTTGGATTGGACAAGGAGAATCGTACCGAGGAAGTTTTATAGCCATTAACTGCTCCAATTATGTCTAATAATTCTGACATGCATGTTATGGAAAATTTGAGCCGTAAAGCACGGCTTGGATTACCGGATTTAAATCTCAGTCTTAATTTGGGGATTGTTTTGGAGCCCAATCATGAGGTTTCTAATAGGCAATTGACTTTAGCTTTAAATGAGCAGCATGATTACAGGTCAAATTGGAATTGTACTGATTTGCTTCCAATTACAAATGGCATGGAGTTAAATGGGGGCCTTGGACTTGCTGATGATAGGGGTATTGGGAGCAAGAGTTGGCCCAATGAAGGAAGTGGGCTTATTTCAACAAACGACTGGAAGGAGGGTGTGGGTTTAGACATGGTTGGAGCCCAACAAGATTCTGATCCTTTTGGGTTAAGTCCTATAATAAGACAAATGATACAGCCTAAAGCCACTAGACGGGCAGTGAACGAAGGACGGCATGGGAGGACCAATAATGGTGGTAAGCAATGGCGGAGCCAGAAAATTCATCAAGGAGAGTCAACCTAATAAAATAATCACATAGCAAGATAAATTTATCTAATAATACAAAGTCTTTAGTAATAACTCATATGTCATTCCAATACATTCACAATCGTCCTCGACAAGTTTTCATCTCTTGAAATCTTTTCATAATCACTTCATTATCAATAATATCAAATGTATCTTCCTTAATATATATGATTAAGTTGTCATTCATCCATATATCTCCCATTCGGTTGCGCAGATCACTTTTCAATATATTCATAGCAGAAAATGCTCTTTCCATGGAGGCAATCGCAACTGGTAGGATTAGTGCCAGTGTCACGAGCAAGTAAACCAATGGGTATACCCTATCTTTTTTTGTCTCAACCAATTTTTCTCCAAGATCACTAATTCCTTTCAATCCCGAAAACACGCTACTAGATTTCATATCAAATATGTAAGTCTCAAGTTCATCCTCAAGTGCCAAGATATCATTCTCTGAAAAGTCCTTTGGATAAAATTGAGCAAGGCGAATCAATTTTTGTTTGTTGAAAGCAGAAAATGAATCAAATGGACTTAAACATGCCATACAAAGAAGCAACTCAGTATTAGTCTTTGTAAAATGACTATTTAATTCTTGGAGTTGCATATCTATGACATCATAAAATATATCGACTTGATAGTAATGCAAATTTGTGAGTTTTGGAGCTTTGCATCTTGACCGGCCTGAAGGTAGATAAATATCATCCATGTTAGGAACATCAATATCATATTTTTCACAAAAAACAACAATTTGATTGCGTAAAGAATCCCATCCACTATCTGTCATCTTTTGTAATTGTTGCTTACTGAGTGTAACCAAGTTCATGGCGTTTACAATATCTCGATCTCTCATTTGCAATGCTTGTGATAACTAATGAGTAATTCCGAACAAATTTTTTTATAAGATGTAGACTGAATGCAAAATCAAATGATTCCAGCCAATCTAATAACTTAGTTGCCTCATGTTTCTGATCAATTTTCAACGCATTCACCTTAAGTTCCTCAAGCAATTCAATTATAGATGGAAATAAATTGATGATACTTATCAAAGTACCATAATGAGAGCTCCATCTTGTTTCACCTACTCGTTTAACAGTGATTTCTTGATTTAAGCCACTCCCACTTGAAATCTCTCCATTATCAAGTGCTTCAATAACCTTGCTAGCTTGTTTCTCCCATAGAAAATCACAACGCTTAGAGGAGCCTCTAACAACATTCACCAAATTAGAAGCCAAAGTGGAAAGATCATCGATTTTGATATGATTCGTTGCTAGAGACACAAGAGCTAATTGAAGTTGATGAGCAAAACAATGAACATAATAAGCAGACTCATTTTCCTTCAAAATATGAGTTTTAAGACTATTGAGTTCTCCCCGCATATTACTGGCACCATCATAGCCTTGGCCACGCAACCTAGATATGCTCAATTTATTTCTCGAAAAGAAATTATCAATTGCCTTCTTCAGTGACAAAGCAGTAGTATTATTAACATGCTCAACACCAACAAATCACTCAATTACATGTCCCTTGCATACATATCACAATACAATGGCCATATGTTCTTTTCCAGATATGTCACAAGACTCGTCAATAAGAATTGAAAATAATGAGGTACCAATATCTTCAATAATTTTATTTAAAGTTTCAATTGCAGCAGCATTCACAATATCCTTTTGTATATCGGGTGATGTTAACTTAAGATTTGCAGGAGCATTTTTCAATACAAATTTCTTCACTTCCTCATTTCTATTAGAATACCAATGCCAAAGTTCAAGAAAGTTACCTTTGTTATTTGAATCATCAGATTCATCATGACCAGAAAATGCCATCCCATGTCGTAGAAGATATCGAATACAATCAATTGATGCATTTAATCGAATACGATAATCACTTCGATCCTGATGTGACTGTTTGAAAAAAAATGTCTAAACATGTTGCCTCGGATTTAATAGAGCTTCACACATTCGCCTAGCATGGTTGTGCGCACTATTAGTGCCTCCAACATGAATTTTTAGCTTTTATTTTTTCTTCCAATTTTTAAACCCTTCACCCACAAAGGAATCACCACCAGCTTGTTCTCCATTATTTGGTTTGAAGAGATAACAATATAGACAATATGCAGCATCTTTTTCAATACTATACTCCAACCAACTAGCATATTCATCAAACCAAGCAGGGTTAAACCTTCGAATTGTATTACTAAAATTCGTTTGAGGAAAATTGTGTCTTTTAGGTTGGCAAGAACCTCTTTGGAAATAAGCTCTGTGCACCTGATCTTGGACGCTAGGATTGTAATCCAAAATTCAAGTTCGTAGCCTAAGATTTGAAGGAAGATCAGCCAGATTGATTTCCTCACATTGATGTTTTGTAGTACCATGATTTAATGCATCTGTTCTTAGAGGAGGTGACAATTGATTTGTCACTTTTCTTTTAAAGTATTTCTCCATAACTGTTTTAAAAGTAAATTTTAGAAATCATATGATAAAGAAACATATAAAGATTATTGTTCTTGATTTGAGATCATAAATAAATAACTAATTAACAGACCACAAATACAATAAAATATAAATAATAAAAAAACATTATTAGGGTTACAGACTGGATTAATGGTCACAATTCAATGAAACAAAGTTGAATTCTTGTAGAGAATTAACTTTAGAGTCGGAGAGAAAAAAATAATTGAATGATTGATGCAAATGAAGGCTTGAAATAGAATAGGTTCAGTTCGCGCAGTGCAAAGTTGAAATAGAATAGGTTTAATTTAAGGAGTGCAAAAGGTTGTCTCCTTTAGCTTTTAGGTTAGTAGTTCTTTAATTAAGAAGTTATTAAAAAAAAAAGTGAGAAAAGAAAAAAGGAAAGCTGAGAATGGTCATATATTAATAACAATTTATATACAAAAGGTAAATAGTAATGAATGCAGGGTTTATTTGGGAATTTTAGGAGGGTCAGCTGACCCTTCTAGGCCTTCATTAGCTCTGCCTTTGGTGGTAAGGGTCGAGGAAGGAATTCTAAGCACGTGTGAGGTAGGATCACACAACCTAAAGGTAGGGGTAGAAAGAGGGAACCTAAGGCTATGGTGTTTGGAGATGTGTTACCAGCTCAAAAAAGATGTTGTTCAAATCTTTCATCGAGCTCTGTGGGATCGGCAGTGGCTGACTCGTTTCAGACCCGCTAGAAGCCATGAATCTTCTAAGTTGGAACTGTCAGGGGCTTGGGAACCCCTCGACAGTTAATGGGTTGAAAAGTATAATCCACAAAGAAGGTCCCAAGATTATTTTTCTATGTGAAACTCGTTGTAATAGTGCTCACATGGAGAAATTGTCAAACCAACTTGGTTTTAGGGGAGTGACAAGTGTGAGCAGTAGAGGTTATTTTGGAGGTTTGGCATTTTTCTGGAAGGAAGAGGTGGATGTTCATGTTAGTGCCTTTTCTGACCACTTTATAGATGTACAAATTGGTTATGATGGCGGTGGGGATCGATGGCGTTTGATTTTTTTTATTTTATGGCTTTCCAATAGTGCAAGATAGGGAGAAGTCATGGACATTATTGGATCAATTGGGGCACCATAATCAACTGCCTTGGTTGTGTGTATGAGATTTTAATGAGATTCTTAGCACGAATGAAAAAGAAGGTGGTCCTCTAAGAAATGACAGACAGATGCAGGGGTTTAGAAACATTGTGGATAAATTGGGTTTTCGAGATTTGGGCTTCAATAGGTATAAGTTTACTTGGAAGCGCCACTTCGGGGATGGTTTCATTAAAGTGAGGCTGGATCGAGCTTTGGCTACAACATCTTGGAAAAATATATTTCCAGGTTTTTCCGTTCAGCATTTGGACCCAAGCCGATCAGACCATCTTCCCATTCTTGTGAGAATACGGCAACGTGCCAAAGAAGCAGATATAGTGGTTTTCACTTTGAAGCAGTGTGGACCACTCACGTGGAGTGTGAAAAAATAATAAAGTAGGTGTGGGAGTCTGTAGGTGATCTTGATCCTATGGTGGGCTTGGACAAGAAGATAAAGCAGATGACTTGGGTGCTTCAAAGATGGAGTAAAAGTACTTTTGGACATATCAAGGAGGAAACTCGGGTCCTGCGCGCAAAATTGGCTAGTTTATTCTAGCCCTTTATTCTGAAAGGGTAGAAGAGGATCGAAGGGTTGTGTAAAAAGACCTTGATGAGCTATTGGCAAAAAATGAATTTTACTCGTGTCAATGATCTAGAGAAAATTGGTTAAAGGCTGGGGACAAAAATACTAGTTATTTTCACCAAAAGGCAACTAATAGAAAGAGGAGAAATACCATCAAGGGGTTAGAGGATAGCAGCGGTTACTGGCATACGTCTCAACAAGGAATAACATCCACGATAATGGATCATTTTGGAGATTTGTTCCACTCCAGTGGGTCAAGTATGATGGAGGAAATTTTTTCTAGTGTGGAGCCTAAAGTGACAAAAGATATGCAACAGGTACTAATGGCAGATTTCTCGTATGAGGAGATCAAAGATGCAGTTTTTCAAATGCAACCTTCAAAGGCACCTGGTCCAGATGGCCTCCCTCCTTTGTTTATTAAAAAATATTGGCGAATTGTAGGAGATGATGTAGTGGTTGCTACTAGAGCTTTTTTGCAGTCATAACATATGTGACGACAACTAAATCATACTGTATGAAGTTTGGCCAACCGTATGAAGCCTGTGTAATGTTCTGTATCGTATTGGAGCAAAAACTTTGGCCAACCGTATGAAGTTTGTGATGCAGAGTGTAATTTTAGAAAGTCAAAGTGCCTTTGTCTCAGGACAGTTGATTACAGATAATTCTATAATGGCTTTTGAGATTGCTTATTTTTTTAAACAAAGGAGAAGAGGACGAAGGGGAGTTTGGCCTTGAAATTGGACATGAGTAAAGCTTACAATCGTGTGGAGTGGGAGTTCTTGGAGAAAATGATGTTGGCGATGGGTTTTCCTATTTTGTGGGTGAAGATGGTTATGGATTGTGTGAAAACTGTATCGTACTAATTCTTGGTGAATGGTGAACCAACTCGGATTTTATACCCAACATGGGGATTAAGGCAAGGTGATCCTTTATCACCTTACTTATTTCTTCTTTGCGTAGAAGGATTTACCACATTACTATCAAAGGTAGAATGCCAAGGGCAGCTACATGGGATCGCTATTTGTAGGGGAGCTCTTACAGTCAGCCACTTATTTTTTTGCAGATGATAGTTTTGTGTTTGCAAAGGCAACTGATAATAATTGTGGGGTGTTAAAGCACATTTTTGAAGTGTATGAACATGCTTCAGGTAAACAGATAAATTGCCAAAAAAGTTGTGTGGCTTTTAGTACAAATATTCCTATAAACACCCAAAGTCGCTTGGCTAGTGTATTGGGGGTTTCTCGAGTTGACTATCATGCAACGTACCTTGGCCTCCCAATGTTAGGCAGAAATAAAACAATTTGTTTTCGATATTTAAAGGAGAGGATATGGAAAAAAAAAACTCCAAGGGTGGCCTGAACAGACTTTGAGCATTGCAGGAAAAGAGATATTGTTGAAGGTAGTTGCCCAATCTATTCCATTATATGTTATGAGCTGTTTCCTTTTGCCTCAAGGTTTATGTCACGAAATTGAACAAATGATGGCCCCTTTTTGGTGGGGTCAACAAGGAGAGAATAGGAAAATTCACTGGATGCGCTGGGAGATACTATGTACATCAAAGAATGAAGGTGGTATGGGCTTTTGATGTTTGCAAGCTTTTAATATGGCAATGCTAGCCAAACAAGGGTGGCTTCTGGTTCAAAATCCTTAGTCATTGGCGAGCAGAATTCTAAGAGCCAAATATTTTCCACAAACCAGCTTCTGGGAAGCTACGCTGGGATCAAGGCCATCTTTTGTTTGGAAGAGCATCTAGAAGGCTCAAAAGGTGTTGGAGATGGGATCAAGATTTCAAATTAGTGATGGAAAATCAGCACGAATTTGGGGGGATAGATGGGTGCAAGGCCTACCACCTTTGCTGTGATCACCCACGTCTACATGGTATGAAGGATACCAGGGTGAGTGAATTGATATGTAATGAGGGCTCTCCACAGTGGGATCTCCAGAAACCCAATAATCTCTTTTTACCTGTGGATGTGGCTGACATTGCACAAATCCCATTAGGTATTCGGGCATCGCCAGACCCAATTGTATGGCATTATGATAGCCATGGTGTGTTCACAGTAAAGAGTGCTTATAGAGTGATCATATTATCACTTTGCTATGGGCTATTTGGGGAAACCGAAATACACTGTTGTGGAAGGGAGTACAACAATCTCCACATGATGTTGTGGTCTTTGCTCAACAATATGTGCATGAATTTATTACGGTAAATGGTTCTTTACCCAAAGTAACTAATCTGGTACGGGATGCCGTCAAATGGGCAGCACCACCATCATGCCACCTCAAACTCAACTTTGATGGAGCATTTGATCCTACTTCAAGTAGAGAGGCTGTTGGGGTTGTTGCCAGAGACGCGGATGGAGGTTTTGTGGCTACAATGGCAAAATCAGTTGGCGAGTGCAATTAGCTGAACATGCAGAAATTCTTGCGGCTTGTGAAGGGTTGGCCCTTGCTATCTCACTCGGGATTGCATCTCTCATCTTTGAAGGAGACTCTGTTGTCATGGTTGCAGCCATAAAGTGAGTAGGACATGATTATTCCAACATTGGTACTATTGTTAAAGATGTAAAGCATCTTCAGAAACAATTTCCTGGCTCTGTTTTTCAATTTACCCATAGGGAAGCAAATGGTGTTGCACACCGACTTGCTCGATTTGGTCTGCTTACTGTGGACAACTTTACTTGGTTTGAGGTGTCCCATGATCTTATTCAGGACACCCTATTTTGTGATGTGTTGAGTAGGGGTCAGGCGTATTGTCCCCCCCATTGTAACTTTTCATTTTATCAATAAAGTTTCCCTCGTTCCGTCGAGGTTCTCTATAAAAAGAAAAAAAGAAAAAAAGGAAGGTACACTGTGAATGTGGCGAAGACGTTAACTAGGACTTCCCTTTATTAATTATATATTGTATTTATCATGATTCTAATACTACAAGGGCAGATTTGCTCAAATATAAAAATCACAAACTTGTAGACATGCTCGAGAACAGAACACACAACATCATGTAACTTAAGTCTGCTTTCAATATGAAAGCAAATAATAGAGATTATAATGCCTAAAAGACCAGTTAAAACTACATTATTGGAAACAAACTTCTTAGATATACGGAGTTCTTTATTACAAGGATTCCAGAATTGCAATTTCTCTAGCCCTAAACCCTTATCATGCCTGCATCTTCCTAAATAGCACACACATCAAACACCAAAGGGTTATAAGCCAGATGCTAAATTAATTAATTAATTAATTTTTTTAAAAAACATTGAAACCCAATCAAATACATGTATAAACACATCGACTATTTTTATTCAACATTTTCATAACAATACAAAAGATCTGTGGATAGAACTACAAAAAAAAAAAAAAAACCTAAGATCTAATTAAACTCAAATCACTGCCGCGTGGGTTCTCATCTGTGGTCTCGTTGAGTTGAGAGTACCCTGAGACCAGGTTTGATGAGCTCCAGTTGGAAGACCAAGGTTCAATGGGTTGAACAGGCTGAGATCAAGCCTTGACAACGACAACCCTAACCCACGAGCAGAGTCGTCATAGCAAAGCTTCAGATTAAGTTAGAGTTGATAACTTGGTGATGGAGACAATGATGATCTGACGGCTGGTGGCGGCAGCGGTTGTTGAGTATCATTGTCATCAGAATCATCGATGACAATTTTCTCTTTCATTTTTTGGTCAAGATTTTCTGGGCCATCTTTTTGTGTTGGTGGCGGACCATCCGAGGTGGCTTAGATGTTAGAAGCCTCAAAAGTAGGGCTTAGACATTCTACTCTGGGTTCTTCAGGCATCTCGACTCCCGAGCATAGAAATTTTGGGCTTGATAAAAAGATTTGGGGACATCAACTCCTTTTAGTAAGGGTTTGAATTAATGCCTCATCATTCATGTTTGGAAAGAAATCTTATTTTGTTATTGTAATCTGAATTATGTTTTGCTCAAGAAAATAATTTTCTGTTTAATTAACAAAATAATTTCATGTTTATTTCAAGTTTAGAAATTCCCTTGTTTAGGGATCCTCCTTCTCTACATCTATGAACCATGTTCTGTAATTTTTCATAAAATTTAGATGCTAACATTGTTATGTTATTCGTGTTTGTTTGAAATGTTTATTAGAGATTTTAAAAGATAATATTTTGTAAAATATCTATGTTGGTTCTTTTTCATTATTGGTAGAATATAATATTCCTATATTCAAGCCAGGTTAGCTGTGTTATCCCTGTACAATTTGAAACTGGTTAATATTTCCTTTAGGCAGGCAGATACCAAATGGCACGTCCGCAATCATCTCGTCTTTCTCACCATCGCCTACCCCTCCATTGACCCCAAAACGACGACGTTCACCCACAACGACAATCGTTTTGTCAACCTCCTCCAGGGAGACGACACCATCCCCATGTCATTTCACGACGTCACTTGCAACATCCTCGTCATCATCTGGCTCAATGGATGAAACATAATAAAACAGAAACTGTAATGCATAAAAATAAAAATTGCATACTTATTTCCTCTTCATCTCCATCTTCTCTGGTAGTTTTTTGTTCTTATTTTTTTAGAGGTTTTGAAAAGTCCCTGTAGAACGATAATGGTTTTTAAAAATGTTTTTTTAGAGTTTTTTTGTTTACAACATTTGATATCTGCGTTGTATTTTTGTTGTAGTTTCTGTTTTTGTTTGCAGTTTTCCATGAATTTGGTTTGAAATGATTTTTTTTTTTTTAAACTGTTGATTGTATATATAAATATTGTGTAATTGAATGAATATCACAAAAACAAGTTTGGTGTAGTGGTTTGTGAGTGAGACTTCCTTCTTTGAGGGTCAAGGTTCTAGCCCCTTTAATATCACAAAATCTTTTTTTTTTTTAGGGTGAATAAACAACAACAGAGTTGGTCCCCTGGCTGGCCTATGATAGGCGGCGTCGGGCGTCGGGCGACGGTGGCCAGCGGCGGCAACAATGTCGGTTGGCCAGGAAGGGGATTGACGGAGTTGAAATGGCATTGTGTGTAATTTTGACATTTTTTTATTACATTATTGTAAAATTACGTAATACTTTTTGGTTTAAAATGATAGTTAAAATGTCATTTTTTGTAATTTTTAGCTTTTTGCAATACATGATTGTAAAATTACATTCTATTTTTTATTCTTTGGCCTTTTCCTAATTAAGTGAAAGGTCAAGGTTCTAGCCCTTTTAATATAACAATTTTTTTTTAAGGGTGAATAAACGGCAATGGAGTTGGTTCCTGGCTAGCCTGCAATGGTTGGTCGGTGACAGACGGTGGCAGCAGGCAAAGGCAGCCAACGGCGGCAATTGTGGCGGCTGGCCAGGAAGGGGATTGCCGGAGTTGAAATGGCATTGTGTGTAATTTTGACATTTTTTTATTACATTATTGTAAAATTAGGTAATATTTTTTGGTTTAAAATGAAATAGTTAAAATGTCATTTTTTGTAATTTTTAGCTTTTTGCAATACATGATTGTAAAATTGCATCCTACTTTTTATTCATTGGCCTTTTCCTAATTAAGTGAAATTGGATTTGTATTTTCTTAATTAGTAAAATATATAGTGCCTAAAAACTAAAGAACCCAAAAATTAATAGGAATTACAAGGGTGTAAATTAGCATCAGCTGTAATCCCCCATATTCAGTCTCACCTGAAGCTTTAAAATACTCACTTCCTTATTGGCCATGCAGGGGAATATAACTCGACATTCCAATAATAAGCCGCCACGTTGCAATACATGGTTATCCTCACCGCGTCGTATTCCCTCGTCCTAACCTTTGTTTCCGCGTACGATAGCGAACTTACCTAATAAGGCGCGAAACGCTCACACTCTCTCTCTCCTATTCCAATTGGAAGTTCCACTCTCACTTTACTACTCTCTCTCTTCGCATAGAACAAGGACTTCACAACTCTGCAAGGTTTTGATCATGTTGATGACTTTGAAATTTGGATTTTGTTTTTCTCCGTAATAATAAGCATGAATTTTAATTTTTAAGTGGAAATAGTTCGTACAAGAAAACTTTGTTTCTCTCTGTCTTTTAAAGTTTGGTCCCATTGATTTTCTAGGGATCGTTGTCGTTGTCAGAAGTGAAATTTGGCATGGCCTCTTCCGCTTCTGAAGAAGCCCTTCAGGCCTCTTTGCCCAAGAAACTCAAGGAGAATGAGGTATTGCTTTTAAATTTAGTATAATTTAAGAAATGGGACTTTTTGGGTAATTGTTGGGTGAATTTATTTTTCATGGGTTTGTGTCAAATTTTCTATTTATGCCTTTTGTTGTGATGGGTTTTGGGTATCTGGTCGTTTATGATGATTTTTGACTGGTGGTTGAAGAGAACTACACTTATTGAGACCAATCGCCATGAAATTGTTTTGTTCTCTTCAATTTTGTTAAACTTTCTGGGAAAGTTGATGCTTTGTGTCTGGTTAGCAAGTAAACTAGAAGTCTTCTACTCTTCTACACTACTGATTTCTCTGTTTCTTTCAGTGCTTTTGTTATTTTAGTTTGGGCTGTTTGATCACTCAACTAAATGCTGTAAAACTAGCAGTTTCCAGCAGCAACCTCTGGATGTTTTGGTTAAAACCTATTTTTTTTAGCTTTAACTTTTAAGCACTTTTGCAATGCATATAAACTCTCCTCGTGGTTGAAGAGAACTACACTTATATACAGTCTCCATCAGTTTGTTGGCAAATGCGGAATTTTTATGCTAAACATACTGTTACGGCCACTGTTATTGTCACAGTTACCATTTGAAAAGTTGTAAACTCTCAGTATGTTGTCACTTACTTGTTGCCACAGTTAAGATTGTGTGTGTCTCCCTTTTATTTATTACCATTACTGGTGTTGCTGGTTTAACCTCTGACCATTATCATCACCACTCATCGTTATTGCAATGTACTGTACCGTGTTTCAATTTTACGAAAAATAAATTTTTATACTTATATGAATATGCAATATATATTTTAGCAATTCAATGACAATAGCTATCAAACAATTTCAACTACTCGAAATAATTTTTTTCCTTGTGGAGCTTGTTTCTCAATAAAGATCAATTACCATTTTGGATGATGATATTGAAATTGACTTGGGTAGTGTGGGAAGAACTGTTAAGTTATGAAGAATGGGATGTAAGAAGAATAAACTAAGCTGTGTTATCTTGACTAATTTTACACTACATGATGATTGGCTGCCTTTTCTGTATCTCTTGTGTACCATTGCATGGTTGTAAAAATTGTACATCTTTCTGTAGGGTGCTTTGGTCAGTGATCCTGGGAACTCAGGTAGTGTAGCAGGTTCAGC